AACCAGTTGGACGTTGCAAAGATCTAAAGATTTCGGAATTGTTATTGGTTGGTCTGTGGGTTATTTTGTCAATATTTTCCAAAGAATAATAAAGTTAAAAATTTTGCTGACATTTTGGCTAGCCGTGTCCTTTCTGCAGACTGTAATTGTAATAAAGAAGTTCGATTTTTGCCATTTCAAATTTAATATATCAACGAGTTGGCCCAATTCAGTACTGAATTAAAAATGTCTGATAACGCATAAAATATTTTTTTAACTCGTTTACTTGGCAATTTTACGAAATCTTGAGAAATTAAAAGCCTCGAGGTCATTTGATATGTCGAAATTTAATTTTATTGTTCAATTTATAAATTCTGCTCCTCCGTTTCTAAATGAATATCCTTGACATTTAAGATTGTGTAAGCTGCACCAGTTGGACGACATTTTTTACAATCTCAAACTCCAACGCCCAAAATAGTTCATTTTCCTTTTCTTTTTTTAATAGGTGGATGGAAGAAATTCTTCCAGGACCAAGTCTTTTGGCCAATCAAAAGCCAATTACTATTGTTACTTTTTATTGAAATTACATAAGCAGTGAAAACATTTTTATATTTTCTTTCTTTTTAACCATTAACGTGTAGTTCGTTTTGAATTAAGCCACATTCCAAGGAACAAATTTTTATTATTTGATTCTACGCGATGATTCATCGCCATTTGTGCTAATTCGTGCATTTTTAATACACAATACACAATAATATTGAGTCTGAGGTTTTATTCAATTTTAAACTTTATTAAACTATTTACAAAAATTTCCAAACTGCCTAATGATGTAGACAATATATATAAACAAAAATCCAAATTTAAATAAAATCTTTTTCCAACGTAAGGATGAATTGTCGTTATTCCCATGATGAGACTTGACTTTTCTATAAACGAATAATTCTATTATTTCGTTCTATCTATTCTATTAATTCTGAATTTCGTTGTGCTATTACCTACATTTTATGTAAATATTCAAGATATATAAACTATAAGTCCATAAAACTACATCTGGTGTTTTTAGATAATTTAAAACCAATTTCACTATCAGCTTATTTCTAAGATATTACTATCTTTCCTTCCTGCTCAGTTTGACACGTTTGACGCTCTACATTCTAAATCAGTTTTGTTTTACATACAATACTACGTTAAATTACAATATTTGGGGTAAAATAGATAAAAATATATCGTTTTTTTTTATCAAACGTCTACCTCAACAACAAATGCCTTGAGTCAAGTCTTTTATTTGGAGGGTTGGATGTTTTTCTAGAAACGCCATTGGAAATAAAATTCACAAAAACTCTTGGAAACGAAAACTGATAAAATCAAAATAAATTTTTAATACGTAAAACTAAATTTTAAGTACTCAACATTTGCAAATAAATTAAACTCAAAAAATTATAGTTAATGCTCTGCAAAAATATATAATACTAATTTTTACTAATTGTAAAAATAAATTTTAATTTTTTTCATATTTGCAAAAAATTACAAGAATCTTCTCTATATGAGTTTGGGTTCAAATCTGGCTTGTACGAAACATAATTTATTCAGCATAAAACTCATAACAGCATAAAATTATAGGTCATCAATATTCTATCATCACTTCACACCGAATTTCATATCATAAAACGACGTACACACATGCTTTGAAATTCCTTAAGCTCATATTAAAAAATAAAATGTTTCTTTCTAGAATTGTTTAAAAAAATTATGCAATTATAATTTTCAAAATGCATAAAACATCTCCTTCGTAGCACTAATTTATTTTGTGTTTATTGCTGTTAATCTACTCGCGGAAGCTTGAAGAAAATTTTATATAGATTTTTCCTTCATTGGACAAAATTTAATTTACAATTTAACAACCTAAAGATGGTTATAAAAAGATATTTATTTTATAATAATATAATTCAATAATACGTATTGATTTTTGTAAGTATTTTGCATTTAAATTGTTCAGAATAGATTTATGCAAAACTGAATTTCAATTGATAAACGTCCCATTGGGTTAAACTATTTAATAAGAAATTCCGCGTTCAAATGTTCGAAACTCTTTCAAAATATAATAATATGTGCAACTTTCTGATTCGAAAGATAAACTGAAAATCACTTTTTGATTCAAAATCTAAATAAGGTTGTTTTTAATTTCGGAAATTGAACGAATTAGACGAAAACGTCGTTCAATGAGCATTGTCTTGGCATTAAAAATAGAACAGAAATGGTCTGATCCATTCAATATATTATTTTCGAAATGAGTAATAAAAAAGAGATTTCCGTTCTTGAAAAAACGCGCCCTCCGGGAATCAATCAAATCAGATCAATCAATTGCCAAATATTTACTTTTAAAAATCACAACGAAGCCCGCCTTAATTTAAAAAAGTAAATACAATCTTTTTCAGCTCTTCTCACAAAGCATTCAGTTATAATCGTTAAAATTTTACGTGACCAGGTAAACTGGTCAAATTCAGGATTCAGATGTTAGTGATCAATTTAGTTCTTTTCAAAATTACTCCAATATCAGCCTACTTCCAAAATTTTATTTGTGAAAAATGAATTTTTTCCATAACATGATTTACCAAATTTAAAAACATCTTATTAAGTACTGAACAAAATTTTTTAAATTTGATAAATGTTACGAACGAATTTTGTTGGAAAACTTGATATTTAAGGCTGAAAACATTAGTATTGCAATATATAATGTTTTTACTTTTAAATGTACTTTAATATTTTAATATCGGATCAGTTGAATAAATTTGAACTGAAAATTTTTTTACTAGAAGAAATGAACAAGATAGTTATTATTTTCGTAAATTATTTCAAATTGTCTTATCATGTTTTTAATTTTATAAAATAGCGTCTAGCACAAGTTTGTTGTTGTTTTTTTAAAGAAATATATACAAATTGGCTAATCCATTCCAATGAATTAATTTAAAAATAGTTAACACTAACATTTAAGTCAATCATTACGGTAGTTTTAAACAAAATTGTTTGTCTTTTTTTTAAATTATTTTGGGACATAACTGAATTGCAATTTTTTAAAAGTAAAAATCTGGTCATTGTCTGATTTAATCCAGTGGGTCGGTGTCCTGGCCAAATTTGAACTTATATGACAAAATGCTTTGACGTAAGGCTGATCAAGATGTAATTTTCTAAATTATGACAAGACAAAAATTCTTCGTTAACATCGTTCCATTTTTGTTTAAAGTAGAAATTAAGGTAGGGCCGATCGATTCCAGTGGATATTATTTAGAAAGGAACTAAATGGATCAATCGCAAATCGAAATTCGTACATTTTGATACTTAAAATTATTTTTCTGGTCCCTTGGGTTTCGAATTATAAAAAGTCGAATGTATTTGGAAAGGAACTAAATGGATCAATCGCTTCTGAATCCTGCATCTGACTAGTTCCCCTGCTAACGTCAAATTTTAACTTGTATAACTGAAAGTTTAAAGGAGAGCTTAACAAAGTTTTTTTTTTACTTTTTACTAACTTTATAAATTATGGCGAGACTTAACTTCGTTGTGACTCCGTAAGTAAAAAAGTTGGAAAGTGAATTATTTAATCCGGTGAATATCATTTAGAAAGGAATTAAATGGATCAATCGCTTCCGAATCCTGCATTTGTCCAGTTTACCTGCCAACGTCAAATTTTAACTTGCTTAACTGGATGCTTGAAGAAGATCTTAACAAGTTGTTTTTTTTTTTACTTTTTACTAATTTTATAAAATCGAGATTTAACTTCGTTGTGACTCTTTTTTTAAGTAAAAATTTGGAGAGTGAATAATTTAATCCGGTGGATATTATTTGGGAAGGAATTAAATGGATCAATCGCTTCTGAATCCTGTGTTTGACCAGTTCACCTGGCAACGTCAAATTTTTACTTGCATAACTGGATGCTTGAAGAAGATCTTAACGAGTTGCTTTTTTTTTTTTTTTACTTTTTACTAATTTTATAAATTTTGTCAAGACTTAACTTCGTTGTGACTCTTTTTTTTTTAAGTAAAAATTTGGAAAGTGAATGATTTAACCCGGTGGATATTATTTGGAAAGGAACTAAATGGATCATCGCTTCTGAATCCAGAATTTGACTAGTTCACCTGCTAACGTCAAATTTTACTTGCATAACTGAATGCTTGGAAGAAGAGCTTGACAAGTTTTTTTTTTACTTTTTACTAATTTTATAAATGATGTCGAGGCTAAACTTCGTTGTAACTCTTTTTTTAAGTAAAAATTTGGAAAGTGAATGATTTAACCCGGTGGATATTATTTGGAAAGGAACTAAATGGATCATCGCTTCTGAATCCTGAATTTGACTAGTTCACCTGCTAACGTCAAATTTTACTTGCATAACTGAATGCTTAGAAGAAGAGCTACAAGTTTTTTTTTTACTTTTTACTATTTTTATAAATGATGTCGAGGCTACACTTCGTTGTGACTCTTTTTTTTAAGTCAAAATTTTGAAAGTGAATGATTTAATCCGGTGGATATTATTTGGGAAGGAATAAAATGGATCGTCGCTTCTGAATCCTGCATCTGACTAGTTCACCTGCTAACGTCAAATTTTAACTGAAAGTTTAAAGAAGAGCTTAACAAAGTTTTTTTTACTTTTTACTAACTTTCTAAATTATGGCGAGACTTAACTTCGTTGTGACTCTGTTTGTAAGTAAAAAAGTTGGAAAGTGAATTATTTAATCCGGTGAATATCATTTAGAAAGGAATTAAATGGATCAATCGCTTCTGAATCCTGAATTTGACTAGTTCTAGTTATTTATTTTTTATTTATCCTTTTTCAAATAGTGTCGTTCTTACAACTATCAGAGAACTATTAATTCTCAATGCAAGAAGATTGTAGGCAATGTGAAAAATTTCTCAAAAATGAAAATTTCTTCTCTTCTCCAAGTCTGTATTATTTGAAAAATTAATTATTTTTTATTTCATGCTGTTTGGTATAAAGTCCGAACGGTATTGACTAAGATTACAATTACCTGTTATCTCTTCATATGCTGGAGGATAATCCTTCAGTTCCAGGATGTTGTAAGATCAGTACGTATCCTTGGTAAGGCTTTCTAAGTTGTGGGTGTTCCAAAACGGTTCACTGAACAAATAACAATATTAAATGGGTCGGGACGAGACCCGGACACTAGAACGATTGCGCGGGGTCCGCGGTTTCTCGCTCTTTTCCTCGGCGAAATGGAAAAAAGAAAGGCTCGAAATGGTCCCAGCTCCAGGAGTGACGTTATTGCCAACGGAGCGGGGAGGAATCAAGTCCATTGCCCAGGTCGTTTCTGGTCGCGGTAAGGAAGCGGGTGGCCCAGTGGGGCCAGCATAACGCATTTTCTTTCTCTAAATTACAAAAGTTTCCCTCCGTCCTCACAACACAAATGTCACCAACTATACAACTAGCACTGTGCTATTTCAAGCACGTCTCATCAAAATAGTACTATCAATTTAATATCACTTACTAAATTATTTATTTACTACTTTCCTTGTCAAGGAAAATCATAATCCAATTTTTTATCATATTGAGCAAAATAAGTCTATATATACTACTATTAAATGTCTTTATTCTTTAAATATACAAAATTTACAATTTGGAAATAAGATCGTAATAATAATAAGATAGTATAAAGAAATAAGAAAGGTGTTCCTCATAGTTCAAAACGTCTGAGGGAGTCTATCACATAAACCTAAATTTTATAATTAGTATTTACAAAATGAATATTTTATTCAAAAATTACACGACAAATTTCAGTAACAATAAAACAATTGATGATAGTAACAGAAATTTTCTTTCTCAAAATTGCATAAGTTTTCCTTCGTCCTCACCACACAAATGTCACCAACTACACAACTAGCACAGTGCTATTTCAAGCATATCTCATCAAAATATGACTCTCAATTTAATATCACTTACTAAACTATTTATTTAGTACTTACTAGTAAATAAGATAGTATAAAGAAATAAGAAAGGTGTTCCTCGTAGTTCAAAACGTCCGAGGGAGTCTATCACATAAACCTAAATTTTATAATTAGTATTTACAAAATGAATACTTTATTCAAAATTTGCTTTCTCTAAATTACAAAAGTTTCCCTCCATCCTCACCACACAAATGTAACCAACTAGCACAGTGCTATTTCAAGCATATCTCATCAAAATAGGACTCTCAATTTAATATCACTTACTAAACTATTTATTTTCTACTTTCCTTGACATGTTTATAATTAGTATTTACAAAATGAATATTTACTTTATTCGAAAATAACATGACAAATTTCAGTAATAATAAAACAATTGATAATAGTAACAGAAATATTGCTTGCAAATATATACCTGTCCTGTGAAAGAAATGTAAACTCAATCATTTAATTTTATTCCATTTCTAAATTTATTACAATTTCACAGCAAAATCTCTAGGTATTATTCGTAAACGTCGAGTTTGATGACAAATCAAAAGATTAAGGTTGGAAAAGGAATTAATATTTTATGAGATTATTGTAATAAATACATCAATACCTTGGGGCGTAGTTCCAGGATAGAAATAATCAGACGGCCGAGATCAATGATCAAAATCAATGCACATGATCTGGCAGGATATATTTTTTGTATTGTTATATGGAATAGAGTCAAGGAACTTAAGCCCACATAATGAAGTTGAAATCATTTGAGATGTGGCTTACTGCAGAATGCTTAAAACTTGTCCTGTCCATCAGAAAAGCTGATTGAGCTATTTTGTTCTTGCAATAGAGGAGAAAGATACTAATTTCTATATCTGATTATAGAAGGAAAAAGTGCCCAAGAAGAAGAAGGTGAACCTCCTGGTTGAAGGACTTGCAGGAATGGTTTGGATGTCTTCAACCGGACTATTCTGTGTATTTTCAAAAGTGAAAATAGTGATGGTGATTGGTAACCTCCATCAAGAAACAACACCGTGAAAAGAAGATAGATGGAATGTCCAATACCTACCGATTGTGCCATAAACATTACTTAAAGAATTAATATGAAGGAAATGAAAATAATATGCAAATGTTTATTCCAAATAGCACACATAATATGCAAAATTTAGAGATTTTAATTATTTGGGATATAAAAAAGTGGATGGCTTTATAACTTTATCATAAGTGCATCAAAATTAAGATCTTTTGGTTAAAATGAATAACATTAGCAGTATTCATAAAGGGTACCGTCCAACTTGTGTTTGCCACACTACCATTTCTGGGTTCAAATCATGGTAGATCCCACGGCTTTTTAAATGATAATGACATGAAAAATTTATTATAAAGTGGTTTGACTCTTTCAAAAGAACATGTACACAACTCCTAACTTTTGAGCTCATTTACCATTTTTATAGAGTTCCCATCCATTTAAAAAAAAATTTTCCCATCCATTTTTTGTTTTTCGTAATTTCAGTCATATTACAATAACACTACTTTTTGAGCTATTACTAGACCTAGCTATCTATTATTAGTTTGTCACATTAAAGAAAAGCTTAAAATTATTGTAGTAAAAGTCAAGATATTAATAAATATAGTCAATTATTATTAACAAAAATACAATTAACAAATTACTTTTAAAAGCAAAATTTAAAAATTAATTATTGCATTTGCAGGTAGTTTTGTCAGGTGGAAGGTTGATTATAAAAAATTATTTAATAAATATACTTTTGAAGAAATATAACAATAGATTTTTATTTCAGTTCCCCTTTTATAGATATAGTTTTATAGTTTTTTGGGTTGCCCGGTGATTCCCTTTGCACTCTTATCAAGGATTACAGATTGTTTCACTCTTTTACTATCACTTACAAGTTGGTATTTGTACAAGCGATATGCAATGAAAAAACAAATGAGCTCGAAGACTTTGCAGTTGACTCCAAATAAGGCTATATTTCTGCAAAAGTACAAAATCACACAAATTATTTATTTCAAAAAAGCTTTGTTGAAAACATTCGCTTGCTCACCTTCCGAATTTGCCCTGATCGTATACTATACACGCTCCGAAATCTTTTGGCCAGTATACGCACGCTTGGTCGATCAGAGCCCCATAGATTACAGAGCCTGGCACCGAACCGAATATTCGAACCATTAGCCACTGGATGCCAAGCCCTAGCGATTTAAGATCTGGATGGATACTCCTGTAAATTCACTGCTATTTTAAATAAATCTTTAAGTTCTTTATTAATCAATCCTTCAACCCTTTTCTTACAAATCTAACACCCCCCCCCTCAAAAATGTCTGCAAATACTGAACACCAATCAAGATACTTTATTAATAAAATTTAATTTTTAAAGGGGTAATATTTAAATAAAAGGTATTATTTATTAGAGGCACTATAAAAATTTAGAAATAATATATTTTTAGCAATTCATTGCAATTGTAGGATATTCTGCAATAAAATAGGCATTTAACTTAATATTAAGTTATATAACATTTTACTTTCCATTTTGATTATCTATTGAATTTTTGCATTACACATTTTTTTCTTCGGCTGTTTTAGAAGGTATGTAATTTTTTGAAAGATAAAACTACCATCTTTAAACAAACCCACCTTCTAAAATGGCTCAAGAAATAGTAAAAAATATTTTACAACTAACAAGCTGGTCCGCTTTGCAATTTATTTCATTATAATTAATTAAGGTTTTTAGTTGAGATAAAAAAGTCCATGGCACGAGCGGGATTCGAACCCACGATCTTCGGCTAGATACATCGCTGCTCTACCACTTGAGCTATCATGACCTCGATCCACTCGGACACCAACTTCCCATCTCAACCACACCTTTTGAATTTTCCCTCCTTTTTGCCATTTTTCAAATGTGTAATCTATTTGATTCTTGGCGACAAATGAAATGGCCACGGAGAGCTCTAGTGAAGGAATACTTCATTTTTAACTTATTAAATTCACTAGTTTTGTGGTCTGCTTGACCAATTAATATGTTACAATTAATTAAGGTTTTTAGTTGAGATAAAAAAGTCAATGGCACGAGCAGGATTCGAACCCACGATCTTCGGCTAGATACGCCGCTACTCTACCACTTGAGCTATCGTGACCTCGATCCACTCGGACGCCAACTTCCCATCTCTACCACACCTTTTGAATTTTCCCTCCTTTTTGCCATTTTTCAAAAATAGGTCACGACTGCTCAAGTGGTAGAGCAGCGGTGTATCTAGCCGAAGATCGAGGGTTGGAATCCCGCTTGTGCCATTGACTTTTTTATCTCAACTAAAAACCTTAATTAATTGTAACATATAAATTGGTCAAGCGGACCACGAAACTAGTGAATTATTTCATTATAATACAGGAATGCTTGACATGTCTATATAAGTGTGAAAATATGAATACTCACCTCAGTGTTGCAGTAATAGCAGGAATACAGGCACTGAATGTGACTGTTTGATAGCAGAACACTGTTATAAGAAATATTGTCACTTTCCAAATCTCACAGTTTTCTTCGCATATTTTCGCTGACCATCCTTCGCTCGATTTAGACTTAATACATGAGCAGTTATAGTAAAACTAAAAATCAGAAATTGTCACTATGCTTTTTGATTGCTTTTAAAGAAGAATCACGTTACCTTAGATGATTTTGATATGACACGAAAATCACGACATCCTGCAGTGCAAGGTGAGAAGTATGATGCATTGTTGACATCACATATGGGAAAATATATCGCTTGTCCGCAGTTGCAATTTGCATTGCACTTTTCCTCAAGGCCCCACTTTCTAATTAAATGCCGATTTACATTTTACATTCTACTTCTCAACTTAGAAAAAAAACAAACCCACCCGAAGCAGTTCGATGTTGTCGTTAGTGCCGATAATTTCTACTAAATCATTTGGTACGTTTTCTTTGCAAAAAATTAGCAGTCCAGTCTGAAGAAACCCAGCAGCGCTAGTGAGGGCGATGCAGAGCTTCAAGATGGAAGTGGTCGACAAATTCCACTTTTTGATTACGTACCCTCCAAGGAGTAGCCCAATGAGGCAGCTCGGAATTGCAACCGACCCTAAATCAAACTTTACACATCATGCCAATTCTCTTCTCTTTGAAGTTTTAAACATGAAGAAAAAAACATTATGAAAAATTATAACATGAAAATTATTTTTACCCATTATTGTAGCCACTTTGGGGGAAGAAAAGCCAAACTGTCTCCTGAGTAGCTTCGGCATAAAAGCACCCATCCCCGAGAGGATGATGGCTTCCCAACATCCAGCAAATGTTAGAAACATAAATGGAAAATTTTTGAAAATGTGAAACAACGCTGGAAAGAACTCTTTGAGTGTAGGCTGATCAGACAAAAACGACGACTCCACCATGATACTCTCCTTCATTTTAGATTTTTTCTCTTCTTTCTTAACTATTTAAAAATTTATGTATAGACCAGGAATAATACACATTATTTCTAGCATGCAATCCCACCTTTAAGTTGCCTTGGCAAACCCAGGACAGGTATGGCAATGAAGTAGCTAATACATCCACAGACCAAAAATCCCAGCCACCATGCTCCAACCCATTGAGTACTTGCTGGCGTTATATCTTTTCTGTTATAAAATGTTCATTTACATATTTTATTTTGAAAATTTTTACGGTTCAATATTTCTTACTGTATCTGACTTTCGGGCCGAAAAAAATCCACGTGGACATCTCCTAAAATTCCACCAAATAGATAACCTAGTGCAGGGCCAATTACAGCCATCATGTAATAAATACCTACAATAGAAAAATATTTAACAAAAATGCTTTAATTTCTACAAAAATCATCTAGTTAACAAATATTATTGTGTACAAATAATTATTTAAATAAATTAATTACTATTATGTAATTATTGAAATTTTTAAATAATAATTGCATTATATGTTAATTCTGACTAATCAGAATGAGTGCAATGTGCATAGGTGTGAATCTATTTATTTACACGACTGTATTATATAAGTTTGTTGTTAAATTTGTTGTTTGTAGTACAGAAGTTGTTAGAATAATTTTAGGCTAAATTATATTTTCCCTACTGGGGCTGCTTTCAAAAGCCCCCATTGGTTGAAAAGCGATGATCTCCTGGGCATCTAGCTTATGAAAGAATAAAGTGACACAGCCACCCAAGGGGATAGGCAAACTGCCCTGAGATATAGACCGTGGATCAGCATATCGGGTAGTGCAAACCCTTCAGGGTGGAAATCTGCTCATTGCATTATAGTTTGTTTAGTTCATTTTTATGTACTTAAATTATTAAAAAATATGAAATTAAGCATTAATAGTAATATTAAGTAATTCCATTTGCTTATTAAATTCACTATGAAATCAGCACTTTACAGATGGTATCAAGATATTAGCAACTCCCGGAACTGCAAATGAGCATCAATTGGCTGGTGGCTATTTTTGGGTCTTAATTTTAACTCTGGTGTGCTGTGTTCTCCATCTAAAAATTGGGCGTTTAACCTACAAACTGATAGAAGTTCTTTTTAACCTCTACATCATTTCAAAAAGTCTTGGTGATAACAAAAGAACAAACAAATGCACATTTCCACCACTTTCTCTGCAATTCTTTTTAACAAAATTATGTTACCTGCATTCGACCGGTACTAGTGTTTGAAATTAGTAATTGGACAGTAACAGGCAGTTAACTTGTAGAAAGAGTTCAAAACCATTTTACCATAACCTCCAAAAAAATTAAAACTGTACAACAACTACATCCACCGACTTAAATTCCTAGATTTAACAACTCTTCAAGATCATAGAGAAAGACAAGATCTCATTGAAACCAATAAAATTCTTATAGCATGACCCTTTGCCTCAACTTTTCTCACAACATACATCCTCAAAAAGTCATGGCCACAGTATGAAACTTCAAAAACAGCACTCTCAAAAATGAGTCGGATCAACATTCTTCTCAAACCGTGACGTAGAAAATTGCAAAAACCTTCCTTCAAATGTCAACGACTCAAGATCACTTATATCTATGAACTTGAATCTTGACAGCCATCTTCAATCAAAAATTCCCTAACGTTTTTAATTCTTTCAGTATATTTTAAATGGAATTTCATTGTGAAATTTGTTTACCATATCTAAGTCATTAATATTATATTAATTGTAAATATTTTTGTTTATCTACAAGGATTTTACTTGTCGATGTTATACACTTGTAATTGTTTTGTTTGTTTCATAATATATTGAGTGTTTATTGGCATTTACTCCATTTACTGATGTAACAATAAATTTAAAAAATACTTGATCAAAGGGCTCTTAAAAATTTCATTTAAGATTAATTTTGTATATTTCTATTGGTAACTATTTAAACATTAGTTCAACAAAAAAGTCTAAGACACAATATATAATTCACTAAAATAATTCTTGCTATGTTAACGTTTCTTTGGTATATCTTTTTTTTTTTTAGGTGATTTATTGCTATGTTATGTAGTAACAAATTTCCATTCATGTAAACAATTTTGTAAAGAGGGATAAAATCTGTTTACTCTGGATTGATGAATCAACCAAGAACAATGTTGTACTTTGAGCATTAAGGACAGTAACTTGGAGAAGGGTATTCAAAATTAATACAACAAAAGATGAGCAAAAATTTTTGAATGAAATTTAGGGTACACAAGCCTTTGACTATCAGGCATAGCCTCTTATAAATAGGAACTGTTGCATTTGTTTGCCTCAAGAACACTTGTATTTTGAGCATTAAAAAACTGACTATGAGAAGTGTATTAAAAATTATTACAGAAAGATCAAATGTTATTTAAAGAAAAAAAAAATCTATATAACATAAGATGTGCCAAAAATTTTGAAGAAGATCAGACTTTTATAAATAAAAGTTCGTACCAAAAATACTGTTGTATTTTGAACATTAAGGATAGTTTTTTTTAGTTGAGATAAAAAAGTAATGGCACGAGCGGGATTCGAACCCACGATCTTCGGCTAGATACGGCGCTGCTCTACCACTTGAGCTATCGTGACCTCGATCCACTCGGACACTAACTTCCCACCTCAACCCTACCTATTGAGTTTTCCCTCCTTTACTCGGTCACAATAGCTCAAGTGGTAGAGCAGCGGCGTATCTAGCCGAAGATCGTGGGTTCGAATTCCGCTTGTGCCATTGGCTTTTTATCTCAACTAAAAAAACCTTAATGAATTGTAATGTATTAATTGGTCAAGCGGATCACGAAATTAGTGAAATTAAGGATAGTGACTTTGAGAAGGGTATTCAAAATTATTACAGAAAGATCAAATGTTATTTGAAGAAAAAAAATCAGTATAATGTAAGATGTGCAAAAATTTTTGAATAAAATTTATGGTACACAAGCCTTTGACTATAAGGCATTGCATCAGCCCTTTATAAATAAGAACTGTTCCATTTGTTTGCCGCAAGATCACTTGTATTTTGAGCATTAAAAACTGTCTTGAGAAGGGTTTTCAAAATTATTACAGAGAAATGAAATCCTATAAAAAAAATCAACATAACATAAGATGTGCACAAATGTTTGAATGAAATTGATGGTAAAGAATCTTTTGGCTATCAGGTAGGGCATCAGCCTTTTATAAATAAGAACTGTTGCATTTATTTTCAGTTTTCTTTTATCCACTTGTTTTTCTGTTTTATTAAAAAATCTTCGACTTATAAATAATTTAGGAGGGAAAATTTCAAAGTTGGCCTAAGACGAACAAGCCTGACGTCCTCCAGGTGGAAACAACAGAGATAAAAGTGGATATCGTACGGTTGATAAGCGAGAGCTGGCGCTATCTGAACAAGCTGGAAACAACAGAGGTGTTACAAATGTTAAAATGATAAACAGTCCTGGGTTTTCATAGTTTTTGTTATAGAGGCGATGTTATTTTTTATAGTCGAGCCAAGTTCTTTTCTTATGCTTTTTTGACTCGGAAGTCCGACAGACAGCCCGCAATTTTTTGCTCCTGTAGAGATGTCATTCGACTGAGAGAAGGTTTCAGTTTTTAATTTATATCACACATTTATGTTAATAGCCAAACAAACGGAAGAAAGTCCGTCGAAATCGGAAAATAATTTATTAACACATCTTTGAAAGGGTGGTCAGGAAATGATGGCCGAGGGAAATCATAATACTATGCCCATGGCGATTAGCAATAGCACGAAATTAAGATTGAAAGCCCTCTATCCGAAAGTCGCCGATGTGGAAACTTCGCTTCCTAGGAGTTGGTGTCCGAAAGAGAAGTTCAGCCATATCGGATTGTCCAACGGTGGCCTCAGGGTTCAATTTTTCAAAGGACACAGCGACTCGAACAGGGAAGGTGTGACTGTCAAATCCAATATTTCGATACCGCCTCCGACCGGTCTCTACTACTTCGAAGTCAAGATATTGAGCAAGGGTCGAGAAGGTAACATAGCCGTGGGTCTCACGACGCCTTGCGCCAGCCTACACAGCTTGCTCGGTATGGACAAGCACTCATACGCGTACCATGGGGCAGAAGGCAATGTGTACAATTACAAAACCAACACACCTTACGGGCCTTCGTTTACGACAGGAGACGTCGTGGGCTGTGGGATCAATTTTGTCTACAACACTTGTTTCTACACGAAGAACGGCCATTATCTTGGAATCGCTTTTAAAGACATGCCGAAAAACCTGTATCCCACTGTCGGATTGCATGCGGTGGGTGCGGTCGTCGATGCCAACTTCGGTCATATCCCTTTTGTATTCGATATCGAAGACATGATGAAAGAAATGAAATCAAAAGCTAAAGATATTATCTATAATTTTAGTTTTCCGAGTACCGACAGTGAATATCAAGACATGATGCACAAACTTGTGAGTTCGTATCTTTTGCACAACGGATACTGTGCCACAGCTCAAAAATTCGCCTCTGATACGGGCCAGGAGTTCAACGAAAATATAGAAGCTATTCAAAACCGAAGAAACATAATGAATCTTGTGATTGCAGGTAGGATACAGGAAGCGATCGACAGCACTGAGCGTTACTATCCCGGACTCCTCGATAACAAACCGAATCTCCTTTTCCGGTTGAAATGTCGCCAGTTTATAGAAATGATAAATTCGAGCCGTCAAAGTAACAAAGAAAGTGTTCATAATAACAGAATGAACGGAGATACAGAGACGGAATATATGGAAACTGACAGTAATGGGTATCCGGAGGAGCCGTGCAATGGGCGTCTGTCCTCAGTCGAAAAGATCCTTGAGTTTGGAAAAGAGCTATACACCATGAGTCAACGGCTATTTAGACTGTATGGTAGTAATAAGAAAAACAAATCGATGCTGCGCAACGCCTTCAGCCTCCTAGCGTACTCAAATCCCCACAACAGTCCTGTCGGCTGGCAGCTGGACCCATCCCAGAGAGAAGCTATCTCGGTAGAGCTCAACTGTGCCATCCTCAAAGACAGCAACGCTTCGATGAAACCGCCTTTGGAACTCGCCCTCGCCCATGCCCAAAATCTCCTTAACCTCATGTCCAAATCAGGAATTGGACTCGCCTCTTTTACGGATATCAATGATTATTTATAAACAGGTATTGTTATTAAATTGTTAATTTAACAAATGAAATAAAACCAAGTCATAATAAATTTTGTACTTATGTAATTTTGATCTATTTAATATTATTTGAATCATAATAATCTGTAAAATATGCTGCATAATTATCCTTGTGTGCCATTTAAATTTGTACTTTGTTTCAGTAAACTTTCTTACACAATTTTGTTATTGGGAGCAGCAGTAATTTTGTACATTTCGTAGGACTTTTTTGTTTGTTTTTGAATTGGGAAGTTATGGAAAACAACAGAAATTTTATTTGTGATACTAAACTTTGACTGGAGTGAATGAGAGTATCACAATTTTTAAGATGTTAATTAAAAACTTCTTCACTGGCGTAATTTTATCCAAAATTAAAACAATAAAAACAGCAAATTTTGGTTGAAAGAAATTTTTAACATCAAATTGACAATTATATGTGAATTGTTGGTTAAAAATCAACATCATTTAATGACAAAAAAAAGTTTGTACATTATATAAATACAAAAGAAAAGCTTCAGATAACATTTTGTAACAAGCAAAAGCATATTTATACAGAAGATAATAAGACATCGTCTGTGTAAAAACAAAATATTTCTCAATTTCTGTTTTAAAATTTAAATTGAAAAAATACAGTTTTTAGGATTCTACCAAATCGCAAAAAAACTTAAAATATCAATTTTAGAAAGTGTCTTAGGAAAAAAGTCCTCCTGGATTTAGATTACCTGTTTGTTACAGGGCTAAAATCATGGAACATTTTTTTTTACTCATAAATCCTTTAGAAATTGATTCAGCTCTCTTCCGAGTAAGTGAAAAATTAGCTCAACCCTGTAAAAAATTGCATTGACCTGACACATTTAAAAATTTATTTATGTTATTCATTTTAATCAGAGTTTTTAATGCCTAAAGATTCATGTCTCATTATTACTTATTCAGTATGCTATTTCCGTGAAAAGATTAGGCAGATATATTTTATAAATTAAACACTCCTTTGCTTGAATATATGCAGTATGTTTTGTTTTTGTACTGAACTGACATATGGTCACTTATTGAGTGTCACTATGCCCGTTCAGCAAGAGTTGACCGACTTGCAGACCCACCTATCATCAACTCTTGTTTTTATATTAATGCTAACAAGAAGTGAATGTTTCATAAAGGGTGAATTGATTTAAAAAAAACAAAATAAAATAAAAACAAATATACAGTAATAATTGCAGTGGTGTTAGGAGACAAATAGTTCAAAATTGGTGTCATGCTAGAATTTCAGAATTCACAACAGTTAATAAAAAAAGGCAAAGTTTTGTACCTTTGCTTTTAATGGACTTTCAAACAAACAAAAACTAATAATGTCAGTACATTAATTTTTTTTAAAATTTATTTATTAATATTTTATTAATTAAGCCAGTTGAGGAAGATAATGGTCTCTTATCAAGCTATTTTGATTGAGGGTCGCTCTTGAACTTCAAACCTTGCTGATATGTTTGTATTTAATGACATGTCATTTGAAAAGTTTTGGAAATATTCAACAAACAAATTCTCATGAGTGATCATTAATAAATATGTGATAATATTTTGTGTGATATTTAAATGTTAGAGTGTATGTTTATTTTAATAAGGAATTATCATTGTTTTAAAATATGAATTTGCTACACTATTTATTGGAAAATCGCAGTTTTTAATAACACCAACATTGCATTCTGTTAAAAGTTAAATAATGGATTGTTTCAGTGCATAGTTCATCATGTCACAATTACATTTTTGTCAATTGAAAAGTTATTTTTATAGTATATATATTTTCATCTCTCATCTCTCCAAAATGTGAAAAAAATTAAATTAAGGGCTTTTAACATTTGTATATTATGTTTAATTGATAAGTTTTATTATTATAAAGTTAGTGTTACTTCTGCAAATTAAATTGTATATTTTAAAATGTAATTACCTAAAAATATAGATGATTTTTCCTTTGTTGCCATATCGTCAATGTATGAGACACTGAGGGTGAAAAACGGCGTCGCTCCAACTCCGTGGAGGAAATTGCCCACGACAAGCATGCTGTACATTAGTCGATAATTGTGCACATTCTAAAATGCAAGAATATCAATTGGTTTTTGACAAAAAATATAAAAAATAAAAGTACAGGGGTATAAAAGGAGATGCTGTGGCCGAGGAATAAATTTTATTATATTTTTTTAGAATCGAGACAGCTCTCCTGTATAAATCGATCAACAAGCAAAATGTAAAATTTAATGTAAAAATCGACACTAGAGAACATTTTAGAGAACAGTAGAGTTTAGAAAATAGCGTGTATTCATTTAGTGATAATGTTATACCAATTATGGTTATTGAAACATATTTATACATAACAAAACGCATGTTCTCTGTTAACCTGCAGGATGATGTGTTCCTAATCTCTAATTTTGTACATTGCGCATTGTGTACGTGTTCAGTTTGTAATTATAAAATGAAGATATTAATAAATTAAAGTTATACATGTTGTTTATTATATTTGTTCATAATTTGCACCCTCTGAAGACAAAACAAACAAAATAATTTATTTCTTAGCTATGCAATGGGTTTTAATAGTAAATTAGACAAAGAAAGGATCACTGCCCACTTGTTAATAAACTGCTCAAAAATGGATAGGGATATTTGTAATTTATTCTTATTCGATTAATTTTAATTAAATTAACCCATGTATTGCTATTTATTGTTGTTAGTTGGATGAAACAAAATAGAAAATATAAACCAAAAACAAATTTCATTTTAATAACGGTTTTACTTAAATTAGTCTATTTTGTATTAGTAAACATAAAGATTACTTATTTTGTAAAAATTTACTTAAGTTACTCATTTTAATCTAGTTGTATTCTCATTGAACATAGAAAGACATCTTGAACCGGAAGTGGATATCCCAAAGGCAGTTGGCGTTTCTCAGATCATGGTATTTAGTCCGATTCCGAGCGGTGGTTATCAGCGCATTACGACGCTATGGGAGGACAGAAATACTGTCATTGCTGCAAGACGGAACCCTTTCCAAAATGCCCGCCAAATCCTAAATGAAGTACAAGACGATTTGGCAAGGCCTTTATCAATACAAACGATTCGTAATCGTGGGAAATTGGCCTCACGTACGCGTATGCTTTGAGTTGACCTGCAGCAACAACCTGCCACCAGCAACTCAAGAGAATATGGTGCAGCGAGCGCCTAGAAGAGACCACCAATTGGAATGCTGTTATATTTACTGATGAGTCTCGTTTCTGTCGGTGTAGCGATAGGCGCCGAAGAGTCTACCGAAAACACGGGATGCGTACAGAGTGCTTCTTGGAGAAGGTGGTGTATTGGTTTGGTCTGGGATTGGACGACGAACTGGACTCCATATTGTTGAAGTCAACTTCACAGTCCCTTATGTCCAAGAAATAATCGAGAAATACATCTCTCAAACCGGGGATCTCAATAGCAGGGATTTTTGATTCCTTGATGACTATGCCAGACTTCATAGAGGAAGAGTTGTTCATCAATGCTTAGAAAACTTGGGAATTTTCTGCCTCTAACCCCATTGTCACTAGACCTCAATCCCATTGAGCACGTGGGATGCGTTGCAGGGAAGGCTTTTCGATCACCATCCGCAACCAGTTGACCTGCACCAACTGAGATGTTGCAACATCTATGGAGTGAAATTCCTCATGAAATTAGTGACAACTTTATTAACAGTATGCCTAACAGGTGCACAGAGGTTTCAGCTAACAGAGGACATATACACGGTATTAATTGTTTAAAAAATTATTTTGTCCAATAAGCAAAATTATGGAATTAAAACCTTTTGTGATTTTTCAAAATCCATTAACTAAATTTTCCTTCAGTAAAAAACAATTTCTAATAAATTTTAAGGCAATTTATAATAAAAATGCTAGGGAAAAATAAATACTACAAAATTGGCCATATCCCTATTCATTTTTAAGCAGTGTATTTAAATTTGTAGTACAACTTTATGTAAGTCTAGTATCACAGCACAAGAAGCTGATGGAGAGTTACAGAAAACATAAAAACATGCTAGATTTTTATATGATAAACTTTATCGCCGCTTTATTCTATTAATTATTATAAACTAGTAATAGAAATGAATTGCCTCACCTCCTCACCTCGCACAGCAGCCTTCGCGTTGTCCGTGCAGAGGTCAGATTTCGCCGGACGGTACGGCCCTGTCAAAAAAGCCGGCATCGAAAATATGAGTGAACCAGTTCCGATGATCATGGTGCCGAAGCCGATGTATTTCGGCCTGTTGGAGGTCTTCGCGCCTCCGAAGAAGGTCACCGGGATGAGGCAGAGGACACAGGCAAAATCGAACACGCCCATCATTATGCCGGAGCTGAGAGAAGAGAGTCCGAATCTGATCTCGATCATCGACGAAAAATGTCGTAGCATGCCGTTGACGACAGTACCTGGTCAAAAGACGTTTTTAACGAATAAAATATTCCAAGAAATGACTTCAAGACTCGATTTTTCGATATTCACTTACCTTGTAATAAAGTCTGCAGGCAGAGGATGACCAGAGCGCCATAGGGCGTCGCTAGGCACTGAAGACTATACGGTGTGAACATAAACCATCCGTAGAGGGATGTTTCCGACTTGAGACGGGTATTGGACCTTTCCATCTCTGCGGGTCGAGGATTGCTTTGCCAGAAAAGACTAAAACTTTATAGAAAGATCGTAATTAAAAAAGAAAAAAAAAAAAAAAAAAAAAACAAATATACCTGCGAGTGAATGAACTCATGTTGAACTGATCTTCACTGATCACTTTTCCATCTATTCTCACTCTGATTGTATGATCCCAAAGTGATGATCAGTTTTAAATGAGAACAAATTTAGTTCGAGCAAAATAATATGAAAAGTTTTATAACAGAAACGTGTTTTTAAAACCTTAAACATCCATCCCTAAAATTTTAAATCATAATTCTCAAATTGCTCGTTATCGCCTGGGAAAAATTAAGCAGAAAATGTAATAATTTTCTATAACGTAACTGAGAAATTTACTTCCTCTCGACTCTATTTTGTTTATTGTATTCAATATACTTAATAAATTCAATACCAAAATTAGGTAAAACTTACTACTGTTCTGCTCTCCTTAACTGTGCCGAAACGAACTCAAATAAAAAGAAAACTATGTGCTGCATCAGCTTCTGTAACTATTTTTCAAAAACATTTTAAACCAATTTCACCACTTTAGTAAAACTTGAAAGTATTTTTAATTTATTAAACGGTTAAATGCTTAAATTTGAACGTTTATATATTTTTACACAAATTATGAACTATCGTTGCTTTCGGAAACATGTGGTTCGACATTATTTCAGGTGTGACGCCGTTAAATTTTTTCCGACAGTTTTAAATTAATTTTTATTAAGAATTTTAAAAAATCTCGATCGTTGCCAACGATTTTGGGAAAAGAAAAATATGATTCCCCATCGAGATCATAGATCAATAGACGTATACTTTTTTTTTTTAAATATTTCTGTAGAAAATAATAAATCAAGTGCAGCATAAATCTCTCTTCAGAAACCTACGAGTGGAAAATAGTAAAATAACAAAATTAGTAGAAAAAAATGGAAAAAATTCATACATTTGAAGTTAAAAATTATTTAACTGGTAAATTTATAAAAATATTAATCAATCGTCAAGCAATCGTCAAACGCAATGTCGAGGCGAGAATGGAAATTGCAAACATATTTTCGTTGCGTAACTTTTTGACCCAATTCGGCTCAAAACGATTCCGAAAAAAAAACAACAATGAAAAGCACGTTTACAAAACAAAAATGTAATAATCTGAAAATGCAAACCAGGGGTTTTTCTTCCTCACTCCCACTGACCGTCTTTCGTCCAAGTCGCCTAGTTCTTAAATTTGATCAGGGGTTCGTGCAGTTTAGCCGAGGACTTTGGAAAACGTAAAATTTTGAAGTTTAAATTCCGCTAAGTCAGGTAAGTTTACAGCAACTTCACTGGTTCGGCTATTTTAAGAAATAATTCTTTCAATCGGTACCTTTGTTTTTGTCCTTTTTCGTCTAAAAATTTTTTAACATATGAACATATTGTCACAAACTTGAAGCAATTCGATTTAACTCAAATAATTCAGATTTCAATTTTTACGCGAACTCTTGTTATTCACCTATGTTCGGTTTGAAAATTTGCTTATTAATCAAATTTGTCTTGAAATATTGTCTCGGTTTCTAAGGTGTGTTTTTATTCCAATAATAGAAGGTGAAAATCTTCCCCGAGGCGTTTTTCCCTATCGCCCCCTGAGAAGTGCTCAGGCAATTTAATGGATCAAAAGGCGTTAACCATCTAAAGTTTAAGCATAACGTTTGAAAACATGGGAAATTACTTAAAGCGACTTCCTTGGGATCCGTGTACACTGGATAAAATACACAGAGGCATCTGTTCGATCATCGGGTTTTCTCCAGAAGATCAACGTCCTACATAGCCGCACATATTTTTTGTAAAGTAGTACATTCGCTGTTTACCTTATTAAACTGCTAACAAACAAACATTTTATAAAATAATTCCCCTTTTAAAAAAACTATGTTTTTTCGTAGATACATATTTTGAAAACATTATTCATAACTGGTTAATTATTTAACTTTATTCGAGAAGGGAACATACACTGACAGGCAAAACTTCTAATATAACTTGATTTGTATATATTATTCAAAGTCTCTTGTTTTTTAACATTTAATAATTCAGGTTTGTCTAAAAAAGTTTAATTTGTTTGTTACATTTTTGCTTAACATTTGAATATCCTAGTATTTCCTCCTCTTGCCTTAAGCCTTAATTACATCTCGAAGACTCCTCGGCATTTTACTAGTCTGGAAATGACTCTTTGCTGGAGGTTATCACATTCTTCACGAAGAGCGTGGAGTGTATCAGAAAGTGATGGACGTGCTCTTATTCGTTTGTTGAGGTTATCCCATAAATGTTCGATGTCCAAGTCTAGAGAGCGGGATGGCCAGTCTAAGATCCTGATGTTTGCTGGTGAAGGTACGTTTGTACTATGCGAGCGACATGTGGACGGGCATTTGAATAAGATTATCGCTGATTTCATCGAGGATAGGCAACGCATGATGTTCCAAAATTTCATCCACATAACGAGTGGCCAGGTCAGTCAAGAGTCAAAGACCCTGCACGAACAACAACCAACTCTGTGCGACTCTGCGTTCAAATTCCCGTTCATACCCATCTCTGACCTACGTTGAAAAGGTCTACTCTGGGAAAAATTACAGGCTTCGTACCTTTAATTTCGTCTTCTCCACACTTTCACGCCCATCTCGAGATCATAGAGCAAATCTACAATCTAAAAAGTACAGAAGACAAATCGTCCAAAGACAAATGGAGCATGTTGTGTTCTCGAGCAAATGCGAGCCGTGCAACTCTGTGTTCTGGTCAATTCTGGTCCTCTGGCAACAGCCATCAGTCCATACTGATTTAATCTTCTTCGAGCAGTGCGTTCATAAATTTGGAAACCTCGAACTTCCTGGAGCTGTTGAATCGCTTGAACAACAGTAAGTTTCGCAAAATTCTCAATGTCAAAAAACGGTCATCCTGCGGTTCTGTTAGACTAGGACGTCCAGAACCGGGCCTTCTATGGTGGGACCCAGTTTCTCGAAAACGTCTAACGGCGTCTCGCAGAGTTTCCTGGTGAACTCCGATGGCAACAGCCGCATACCTGATGGCACGTCCATCATAAGTGCCACACCACGCGCAACACCCTCAGCACTAAGTGGCATTTTAAGTTTAAAAATTGAAATTCAGAAAACAAAGATGAAAACTAAACAGTTTATTGCTTCAGAATTCCAATGAGACTGAATAAACATTTTCAGTCCCGTAAAAAGTAAACATTGAAAAATCCTTTATCCTTGTTTTGGAGTAAGGATTAAGTGTGTTTACCTCTAATTGATGTTCCCAATTTAAAATATAGCATAAACAAATATTTATTGGTAAAAACAATGAAACAAATTAAGGGCAGAATTTGCTTTTCTCGAGAAAATGAAAAAAAACAAAAACAATTGGGTAGAATTTTTTGCCTGTCAGTGTATATTGTACATGCAGACATACAGAAAGAGGAAGAGATCGGAAGAGCCTGAAATAGAGAGGAAGTTGAGAGTAAAAGAAAGGGAGGGAGAGGGAGAGAGAGAGCGTAAGAGACTGCTAACAGATTTCAATAACTTTTTAGGCAAATATGCTGAAATTATCTATCTACTGTATCATATCTACCAGTCAGTTGCATATCAATTGTAGACTCAGGAAAAACAACGATTTTCTTGACTTTAACGGTGATGAAATCAAAATTCCATATTTTCATGTGATTTTAATTTTTAACTGCTTACTTAGCACGAATTTTGTTTAACATGTAAGACATATGTTGGCAATATTAAGTATTTATGTAAAATGGAACTAGGGATATTAATAATGTGATCAATTTAACAATACTGTCCATAGCTTGGCAAAATTTAACCAAAAACAAGCAGCAAACCATCTTTGTCATAAATTGACCAGTTTGAGAACCCAAAAAAGAGAGAATTTTTAAATACAGAAAAAACCTTGAAAATTTGAATAATTCTAATTAGACACAAGAATGACTACAACGTGTACACAACTATGTCTGAGTTCTGATGTCGACTTACACAATACCGTAAAATATTGTTAGGCATTTTCCTCCAAACCGCAATATGCATTTCCAAAGGCTTCCTTTCCTCGTTAGGAGATTTAAATTCGTGCCCTTGAAACGGAAAACATAAACGAAATACATTTCTGTCTCATTAATTATTTAATGGTGAGTAATATTAATAATAAATGAACATAAGGAAATAATTCAAACAAAATTTATATAAGGTAATTGATTAAGTCAATGTATTCAATCATTCAACAACTTCAGCTTATATAACAAAAAAATAAAAAAATAAAAATAAACCTTTAATAAGGTATTGGATGAGATAAAAAAAGTCAGTGTCACGAGCGGGATTCGAACCCACGACCTTCGGTTCTCAACCAATACCTTACTTAAAGATTTTTAAAGAATTTATTTGGTCAATCGGACCACGAAACCTAATGGATTAAAAAAAAAAAACTTTACTAAGACTATAATTTTTTTTTTTTAATAATCGTCGTTTTCCGTGATTTTTTTTATAGCTCAAAGGGTACCAACTTTTCCAATCCAATTTTTTTTTGTTTTTATTTGTCTTATTAGCTATCTTTTCTCAGTCTTCTTATGGCACGACTAAACGACTGTTGTCTTCCGATTCTTCTAATTCACCTAATATATCTTCGATAAAAATTATAGGTTCGATATCTTGCTTGTTGTTACCATCCCACAAATTAAAATATATAGATATAATATTTATACACATTTTCATAATTCACAATCATACTAATTTATTAACCTAAACTACAACTAAATCGGAGGTCGGAAGATTAAGATCTTGCGGCCTCCTTTCTTTCACACAATAAATACATTCAAACGGTATTTAAAAATTTCACTCATACACTATACTTTCCTAATCTAAATTGTTTGACGGGCCTGTGGAGTACTCGATATTCCTCGACAGCCACGTCCTTTCACGCATCACCTCTCACGCTAATAAATACATTCATTCTGGACAAGCCACTACACTTCGGAAGTATAGTACCAACGAAATGCCCCGTCCCTCTCATCATACTACAAATATATAACATACCTATAATAATTTGGTGGGCTTGTGAGTACTTGATATTCCGTCACAGCCACACCCATGCATACTTCGACATTCACGCAAATAAATACATTCATACAAATAGGGGGGATATACCACGTGTGGTGGGTTATATATAGCCATACGCATTTATTAATTTTAGGTAATCAATGACCTTTCGTTTATAATCACTAATCACTATTGTGCTTAAGTACTTTTGTTATGTCATTGGGAAGGCCACACCGTGCTCTGTGCGGCGCTAGTTGTTCGCATTCTTCCAAAATATGTCTTACTGTTACCATTGCGCCGCACATGGGGTTTAGTAAATATTCGTTAAAAAAATTAAAATTTCATGGAGAATTCTATTAAAATCATACAAGCAAAAAATTTTATTTACATATTTTAATAATTCAAATATTTGTTATATTTAATACTAAATATATATGTACAGGGCGATTCACTACCGGTACGGCAAAGTTCGTCAGATGCTTTCCCACCTCAAATGTAACAAAAAGTTCATATAAACCACGATCCGATTCTCAGCCCTTCCGCAGATGTCGAACATTTTACGCTTTTTTAAACTATCTACGGTTACTTCATAAATCTACTCGTAGTTCTTGAACTATTCAGTTGTGGGGAAATGAAAATAAGTATTGACAAGAGGATCGATGGCGGAATATCGAGTTATCCATCACCCTAATTGAATGAATGGGTAAATAGGAATGAATGTATTTAAGAATGTACGTGAGTAGGAATGGGTTTGAAATGCGTTGGGTGCTGAATTGACCTAGCTACAGCACCCCTCCTCCACCGGAGATCAACCTCGGTTGCTGCACGGATAAGAGGTCTGCCCTCGGACTGACAACCCGGGTGACTCCCGAGTCTGCCGGCAATTTAGCATAAATAGCAAAAGTCGGAATTGCCGGGGGACTACGAGAAGCGAATAGACTCAACTTGGCACAATGTACGTACATGTGCGGATTTGAACCTATAAATCCAAATCCAAATTATTATTAATTTTATTGATAGTCAATTGATTTTCGTTGTATCTTCCTCTGCCGGTTTTTCTGCATTGTTGACGTTCAATTCGCGTGTGGTTTGAATAAATGACCTGCGTGGCCCACTTTGAAAGCTAGGTTACAACCAGAGATAAAATGACCCGATAGCAGATTTAAAATGATTTCACCAGGGTTTTTTTTATTCGTAATGGTGGCGGCCCTCGTTTATTCCTAACCTCTTTGTTAAATGATGCACAGGAACTGAGCCTTTTACGATCAGTTGAATTTCATACAGCTAGCTGACTCAGAATCAGACTACATTCCCGATACGCCATATTTCAAACCGTTAAAAATAGAAAATACGGTCTAGAAGAGACATACATCTTTTGAACTACAGTATGATTTGTAGTGATTATAAATTGGATGTACATATTTACAAGAAGAAGTTTCCCTTGTACAATTAACAATTTTCTAAAAAATATTTTAACAATGAAATAAATAGAAGTGTTTAATAATATATGAATATCATGGTCTATGTGCCAAAAGAACAGACCTATATTACATAATGACCATATCGCCTTTACGGTTGTGCCATACGGAAATAAACATCTGATTCACAAATTAAAAAAGTGCAAATCATTTAGAATCATATGGTTAATAACAAATGCTCCCAAAATATCCATAATGACTTGGACATCCCTAACATTAATGCGAGGAACACACTTACCCGATGCTACGCCATGCGACGCTACCCGATGCAAATCCAAACTCCGATTTTCCATAAGTGTGCATTACCCCCGTGTAAATCTGCCCGATGCTATACCATGCTACCCTACTCTACGCGATCCCCACTGTCCAGATTTTCGTCGGGTCGCATCGATACAGTCGAAGACAAAAGAACCGGACACTCATATTTTTATTCAAACTATGTGTATATTGTCGTTATATTAATTACAACATACTTATTTTAACATAAACCAAATTAACCGAGATCAACAATGCGTCAGTTTTTACAAAAAATATTTTATTATGATGGTTAGGAAGAAAATTTATCAAAACACCGGAATACTAATTATTGATAGAATGAATTTAACTAACAATTTATTTCATGGTTTTGCTCATAAAATTACACCATTTTCCTCGAGTAGGGTCAGAACAGGACACTTATATTTTTGTAGTTTTTTTCAAACTATGAATATGTAATTTTNAACTATGTACATACATATATATACTTTTGTAGTCATATCAATTACAATTCTTATTTTAAGATAAACCAAATTAACCAAGATCAAAAATTCATTAGTTTTTATAAAAATTATTTAATTGTGATGGTTAGGAAGAAAACTGATCAAAACACCGGAATACCATTTTTTGCTATAATGAATTTAACTAACAATTTATTACTCGGTTTTTGCTCATAAAATTGAACTAACCATTTATTTCATGGTTTTGCTTATAAAATTACACCATTTTCGTCGAGTAGCGTCAGAACGGGGCACTCATATTTTTGTAGTTTATTTCAAACTATGTACATATATGTAATTTTGTAGTCATATCAATTACAATTCTTATTTTAAGATAAACCAAATTAACCAAGATCAAAAATTCATCAGTTTTTATAAAAATTATTTAATTGTGATGGTAAGGAAGAAAACTGATCAAAACACCGGAATACCATTTTTTGATATAATGAATTTAACTAACAATTTATTACATGGTTGTGCTCATAAAATTTAACAAACAATTTATTCATAGTTTTGCTCAAAATAATGCATTAATTTTTCAGAAATCGTGAGATGCGGTCTGGTGTGATGTAGGTTTCAGAAAAACATTTTCTTTATCGTGCCAACGTTTCGATCTTTATTGAAATCATCTTCAGGCCCTGGTATTTAAACACATTGTTTAAATTTAATTCAATTAAATTTATTTAATTTATACTTTGATTAAACATAAAAAAAATATTTATTTGCATTATATAAATTGACTTTTATACAATGCATTTATACTTTTGCAAAAAATATTTTTTATATTCAATCGAAGTATTTCTACTCACTCAATATATATACATTGATTAAATATAAAAAATATTTTTTGCATTGTATAAATTCACTTTTTTCCACAACCTACATGTTTTTGTTAAATTTAAACAATGTTTGTAAATCCCAGGCTCTGAAGATGATCTCAATAAAGATCGAAACGTTGGCACGATAAAGAAAATGTTTCATCACACCAGGCCGCATCTCACGATTTCTGAATAATCATCGACAAACGGTAACTAATCACCACACATAATGCATTAAGAACAAAAGAGGCGTTGCGATTGTGATAATGATTTGTGATACACGCTGTGTGACGTGGCGTGCGCTTGACGTCGCATAGATGTGCACACTCTGCCAAAACGTGGCAAGGCGTCGGGTAGCATCGGGTAGCGTCGCATAGCGTAGCATCGGGTAAGTGTTCCCGGCTGAATGCGGTAATCGACACCTACAGCTGATACCACCGGTTCGGCACAAACGGATGCAAGAAATTGACTAGACCCAACCAACTTTGAAAACTACCTAAACTCGTGTCTTATTACTGTTAAATAATTAATTATCGCCAACTATTTTTACCTGCATTGCGTAAGCTCAATAATGTTTAAAAAGAAATTTAAAAAAGTACCAGCATTTACAATGTACTCTAAGAATAT